TCAGGGGGCACTAACCTCTTTTTTCTTATATTTTCAAATAAAAAAATGACAACTGCTAACACAGCAATGGCCATCCAGTGTGCATGCCCCGTCTTGAACCATAAATATATAGGTCATAGAGTAGAGTTGCATCCTACTTGTCATATCACATAATAAAACTGCATCTGATTGGTTAACTCTTGGTGCCAGAAATCTTTATATATAAGTATAGGCACCTGATTTTTTTGAGAAATCACTTTGGAGCAAAATGGGTGGGTAATTACTATTATTATTTTTTGTAAATCAGTCAAAATTATACCTTTTTTGGTCAGATGATCAAATATATTCTTTGGTATGCTACAGAATTTTAGTAATTAGTTTATGTGTGCCATGAGATTTAAAAGGTTGAAAATTGCTGTACTAATCTATTCTAGAATGTCAAGTTAAGTCTAATTTGAACTACCTATTAAACTTTCTTTTGGGGACCAGATTATGTCCCTGGAAATTGAGGCTCCCTGCAACCCCCAAGGCTATATAACTAGTAAGGATAATGCAGGGTGTGCAGGGCTGTGTGGCCTCTAGCAAAATTGCCTTTCCTCTTGCTTTTCTTCTGCACAGGGAAGCTTACGGTATGGTGTGGGGGGAGAAATGGAGGGAGCACTATGGGTATTGACTCCTTCATTATGCCAACACCATTTGAAATGGACTTTTCTAGAGGCCATTTCTAGAGGCCATTACTAGAAAGATTTCTTATACTTTAATATCTTTCCTCATGGTCCTCTTCAAGATTCATGGCCTCTGCTTTTCTTTATATTATCTTATATAGCATCTTTCTTTTTCTTTCTATGTAAACTCTCTCAGTGTACCTTTAAAACAACATTCATGTGACATTCCACTTCCCCAGCTCTATACATACATCTATCTATACATCTCACACAGTCCCATCCACTTTCTGATTGATGGGCTCTTGTATTCAGTCAGAACTTAGTAACAGTGATCTAAAGTATGTCTTCACCCAAAGTAAATTGGTTAGGGTTGACTACTAGGTAAACTTCTAAGGATTATTTTTTTCAAACTTATTTATTTTATTTAATTCATGGAAATAATTTACTTATTTTTTAAATGAAAAAACCTTAAAAAATGGAACAAGAAATGTATTTCACTAATAGTGATGAAATATTTGGCAATGATTTTAAATTTAGAATCCTTGCGAGTCTGTTTTTTTCTTAGTACTTTTTTCTTAATTAAGCTATTACTTTAAATGAGAGGAAATAGACATTGAAGGTATTCAACTAATCTTGCACTTGACAACTAGATGTCAGTGTTAATATACCTGATTAGTTGTCTCAGGTGTGATTTTGTGGAGGTAATTCAAATAATTACTCACCTGTATGATCCGAAAATAAGTCATAAAGAAGGAAAAGGAAAAAATGTATTTTTTCTTTTTATTACTATTGATCAGAGGTTCTTCCCCATAACTTTTCCAGAAAGACTGATGAAAATAAGAAGGAACTTTATTACTATTCAAATGATGTGTGTGTGTGTGTGTGTGTGTGTGTGTGATTCTTTCCCACTTTAATAAGAAACATATTTGAGAGCAGGAATTATGTGTGCATTGTCAGTGATATTTCTGACATTCACCTAAGAGTTTCTCTTATGTAACTAAATCTGTCTTTTTTAGTTCACTGATCATAGCAGTGGCAGCAAAATACCCCTTATTCTTTCCTTGCAGATTCAATCTGACAACCTTTTAAAATTATTTATTGGGAAAATTATAATAGCATAATCAATAAAAATACTTTAAAAATAAAATACTTTAAAATACTTTAAAAATAAATAAATTAATTAATTAAAAATATTTATATTGCATTTTTCTGACTTGAGTGTCTCACGTCACTCAAGCAGATCCTAATTTTGCAAAAGCCTGAAACACGCGCATCAGTCGTTGCAAACAGTGCGCTGGTTTTACTGACTTAAATCCCCGTTGTTCCTGAGAAAGAGTTTCTGGTTCATCTGTTCTCAAATCACGACATGAAACAATCATTTGGTGATTGCTGTTTGTCAGATTTTGTATTTCCCAAGCACATAAAAAAAGAACAGAAATTAATTATTGATTATAGTACAGACCCAGCACATCACTACGGATTTTCAACCATGCCGAAAGAAAGAAAAAGTCATATCTACCAACTCCAGGCACTCTCAGTTTGCTGCACATAAAGTGGAAATGCAAGCAGGCTGCGTCTTGCAAATCACAACATATTTTATTTAGTAAAGCAGTACAATAGTTCTGTAAAATTTATTTAATTCTGAGCTCTTAGGATGGTTAAGTAGCTTAGTTCTTGACCTGAATGTCCAGAAGGTATTAAGACATGGAATGTGCAAAATACATTTATTGCAGAAGATACAAGAAACACTGTACATAGGACAATGGTGCCCTTCAAAATAGGCACCTTGGGACCTCAAACAGTTCTCTCAGTCGCCATCAGCTGCCCCATTGTATTTCCTGAATCTCATCAACTGTCTGAAATCTGTTCCCTTTTGAAGGTGATTTTACTCTTGGGAAAAGCCAGAAGTTGCAGGATGCCAAATCTGGGCTGTAGCAGGCCTGAGTCACCTGGGTGATTTGATGTTTTACAAAAACACTGTGTATGAGACCTGATGCAGAAGCAGGTTCATTGTTGTGATGAAGCTGCCAATCACCAGTTGCCCATAGCTGCAGCCTTCTGAATCATCTGAATAGTTTCCTCAGAGGAATGTTCAAGCTTAACACAAAGATTGTTGCGGATTTGTTGCTCTACTCACTCAATCACTTTGAACGTGACAGCCACACAGTACACATGTTCACTTAACAATGTCTAACACCCCCGCTGACTAGTGCAGTGAAGTTGTCACAGTTCATACATATGCATTCCAGTACATTCTCCTTGGCCGCCAGGTTACATCAGTGTTGCACAAACCATTCTATTATGTTAACAATGACTGGACTTTTTCTGGACAGACCTCATAAATAAGATTTGTGATTTTACAGTGATTTTTTAAATTAAAGATTTTATTTATTTATTTTCATAGAGGTGGGGAGGGAGGGAGGGAGGGAGAGAAACATCAAATTGGTTACCTCTCACACTCCCCCGACTGGGGATCTGGCCTGCAACCCAGGCATGTGCCCTGACCGGAAATCGAACCAGTGACCTTTCAGTTCACAGGCCAGTGTTCAATCCACAGAGCCATATCAGCCAGGGCCAGTGATCTTTATATACTTTCTTTTTGTTTGTTTGAAAGCCTTCCTGATTTATGTTTCAAGATCTCTCTAATGCTTTCAACAAAGATACAGCTTATAATTAAAATTTATATTATGGAAAGTAACTAGTTGTTGAATTTACACTCAATTGTAAGTAGTTACCTATGATATTACTAACTGGATCTCAGAGTTTCTGGAGACCTATATGCAAGGCGGTAGGGGACCTAGGAGATGATTGGTCCTAGGCTGGTGTCTTGAGCCCAGTAGGCATTTAGTATATATTTGCCTAGAGACATACATGCCCTTGGTTTTTCTGTGGCATCGTCTTCTCTAGGCCTCAGTGTGTGGTTGTGATTTCCGAACGTGTGTGAGCCTTCCCCTCTTCCCGACTCCTGTTTTATTTGCAGATGCCCGCTTCATGAACCCTAGCTTCTCATATTTCTTCCTTCCTTCCTTCTTCCTTCTCCCCTTCCTTCCTTTCTTCCTTCCTTCTTTTTTATATATATTTGGGCTATCCAAGCTGTTAACAGCAAATGGGTATTAAAGAAATATGGTAGTTATTTGGAGCTACTATGTAGTTGTATAATATTTTCTCTGATTGTTTGCCTAAGAAGTTTCAAATACTTTTATTTTTAAAACTCTTTGCATTTTCTTTTGATTTGTAACAAGATATACGCATAGCTGATTTTGTGTGTGTTTGGGGGAAGAAAGTGGGTGATGATTGCAAAATGTAATAGCAGCTTACATACTTCAAATTTAGACTGCCCTTTAAAAACTATGGCAGAATCTGAAAAGCATTTTGAACGTGCTTTTCTGTAGCAGAAAGACAGTAAAGGCATGCCCTTGCAATGCTTTCCCTTACTCTTCTCATAGTCTCTCTTGGTCTGTCCAAATTTCTAATATTTGGTTCATGAACTTTTCATATTTGGGCACCAATGAACTATTTCTCTCACTAAAAAACTTACCTAAATCTTAAACAGGTGAATTTTGTCATATGGGAATTATGTCTCAGTCAGACTGTTTTTATTTAAAAACAAAACAAAACAAAAAACTTACCTTGAATTTACTTGAAAGCATTTCAGTGATATTGGGAAGCAGCTTTGTATTCATGTTAGAAGTAGAGCAACAAATGGTAGTTATTTATCTAAGGTTCCAAGTGATATGGCTTGTACAAATGTACTTCTCTTTCCTATTTTTTGTGTAACTTAGCATCTATATTAATGGAGGGTGAAAGCATATATATATATATATATATATATATATATATATATATGAGATAATGACTAAAACACTTAAATCTTACATTGGTACTGGAATGCAGTTAGAGAGATGAACCAGAAACACTAAATATTTCACTTCATGCCTAGCCTGGTCATCAGTTGACAGTTTGAGATCCACGTAGATCAGCGATTTTCAACCTTTTTCGTCTCCTGGCACACATAAACTAACCACTAAAATTCTGTGGCACGCGGATCTGACAGAAAGTACGTACAATTTTGGTTCATTCATGCTCGATGGCTACTGTTGTGTTGGCTGTTGTCATTTTTGTATTTGGCAGCCTAAGGGCAGAGAGGACAGTGCCACCAACAAAATAGGCACTGCTTGTTTTAAAACTTCTTGTGGCATAGCACGGTGCATGCCTACACCAATTGAAAGTCGCTGCAGTAGAAGATTGAGGAAGTGAGGAAATGTGCTTAAAAATTCAATTTTTTGACTAATCTCTATTGTGAACAAGTCAATATTAAGGACTTTGCATTTGAAGATATCCCACTTCTCCTTACAGAAAGCTGTGTACCTGCACACGTGGTGGCTGCCATTGATGTGAACAATGTTGCTAATGAAGTATACAAGTATAATTTCCCTTACACACAGTTACTGGCCAAGACAATCGAAGTGAGTAACTATTATTATTGTCTTCATCAGTATATAGCAAGGAAAATCTGATTGACAAAGACTGCAAGACGCTAGTATCCAAATTCAAGGATAAGTCATATATAAATGAAAAGTTTAGGAGAAAGGAATTAATGTTTTATATTCTATAAAAAGATAACATGCTATTTTATTTGCCTTATTTTTTTTAATTTCCAGCTTGAGAGACAGAGAAAGACCAAGACCAGTGTTTTGGTCTCTGACAGACAGGATTGAAATGTAAGAAGATGCTTGACTTCTAAATACTTGGTTTTGTAGTTATATTAAACTCTGTTTGACTCTTGACTTTTAAGCAATACTCATGTACTACGTATATGTATAATATAGCAGGAGTGAAAACAAGGGAGCAGTCACTGGACATTACTTTTTGGGGGGAGGGGAGGAGGAAGGACGTTCGAAATTCATTTTCTGTCAGACAGCATCAGCAGGGTAAACTACAGTGATTTCTCTGTAGATCACACGTTCACAAGGCATCATTAGCTTAACAATGAGAAAGCCTCCAGTGTGTCTTTAGTACTATCCACAGTATAAATAGGTACTATTATTGTGTTCACTTACAATTTCAGAAAGAAAGGCACAACTTGGCAAAAAAATTGCTATTACTTATTTTAGCCAGCCTGTCAAAGTTAAAGGTGCTATTTCACATATGATAAGCTAAGGAGAAGTATTGGACACTGAAGTCCATTATTTTTAAAACAATGATATTTTTTTTCTCCCAATTTCATGTGAAAAATTTTGCATACAGATTTCTTGTGAAATCGTCATTTTTTTTGTAACGAGTGTCCTAATTTAATTGTATTATATTAGCATAGAAGAAAGCAGAATGCTTTTTTCCCCAGAAAACACAGTTTTATACAGAAGAGCAATGAAAAATTGCTCTTTTCATAATATTGCTCATTGCTCTTTTGTCTTTTTTTGTTTTTTAAGCATTTTTAATTTAATTATTGTTCAAGTACAGTTTTCTGTCTTTTACTCCCATCCCAGCTCACCCCCCCATGCTCCCCACCTCCCTCCCATTTCCACCCCCCTTAGTTTTTGTCCATGTGTCCTTTATACTTGTTCCTGTGAATCCTTCCCCTCTTTCCCCCGAAATTCCCTCCCCTCTGGTCCCTGTCAGCCTGTTCTGTATTTCAGTGTCTTTGGTTGTATTTTGCTTGCTTGTTTGTTTTGTTGTTTAGCTTCCTGTTAATGGTGAGACCATACGGTATTTGTCTTTCACCGCCTGGCTTATTTCACTCAGCATAATGCTTTCCAGAATAAATTGCACCCAGTAGAAGGTGAAGTGTGAGTTTTGACCAGTTCACGCAACAGTGGAGCCACCGCCATCACAATCCACACTTAGGACACCCATCACCCCTGGAGGGTTCTTAAGTGCCTTGTTTCAGTCAGTCTCTGACCCCAGCCCCAGCTCACCTCGGACCTGCTTTGGCACTGTGGATCAAGTTTTTGATTTCTAGTATATCATAAATAAAACTCTTATGTGTAATTTTTTGTAACTTTTATTTAGTGTACTTTTTAGTGTACAAAAATTTATCCATGTTTTGTGTTAATCAGTAGTCTGTTTCTTTTTTATTGCCGCTGAGTAGTATTCTGTAGAATGGAATATTATATGTTATAATATCTACTCATGATGTAGATGGACATTTGGGTTGTTTCCAGCTTTAGACTATTAGAAAAAAGTTCTTACGAACAGTCATGAGCAAGCCTTTGTGTAGACTTTTGTTATGTCTTGTGGATAAATACCTAAGAGTAGGATTGTTGGGTTATATGAGAAGTTTCTTTTTTTTTATTTATTTTTTTAATTGATTATGCCATTGCAGTTGTTCTATTCCCCCCCTTCATTCCCCTCCACCATACCCCCCATCTCCACCATTCCCCCCTTTAGTTTATGACCATGTGTCTCAAGTTCTTTAGATTCTATATTTCCCATGCTATTCTTGCCCCCCAACTATTTTCTACCTACAGTCTATGCTACTTATTTTCTGTATCTTCTCCCCCCTTCTCCTTCTCCCACTCCCCTGTTGCTAACCCTCCTTGAGATCTTCATTTCTGTGGTTCTGCTCCTGATCTAGCTGTCCTTTTAGTTTGCTTTTGTTTTAGGTGGTTGTTAATAACTGTGAGTTTGCTGTCCTTTCACTGTTCATGTTTTTTTAACTTCTTTTTCATAAATAAGTCCCTTTAACATTTCATATAATAAGGGCTTGGTGATGATGAACTCCTTGAATTTGATCTTATCTGAGAAGCACTTTATCTGTCCTTCCATTCTAAATGAAAGTTTTGCTGGATAGAGTAATCTTGATTGCAGGTCTTTGGATTTCATGACTTGGAATACCTCTTTCCAGCCCCTTCTTGCCTGTAAGGTCTCTTTTGAGAAATCAGCTGACAGTCTGATGGGCACTCCTTTGTAGGTGACTGTCCCCTTAGCTCTTGCTGCTTCTAGGATTCTCTCCTTCATTTTAATTTTGGCTAATGTAATGATGATGTGCCTTGGTGTGTTTCTTCTTGGGTCCATCTTCTTTGGGACTCTCTGAGCTTCCTGGATTTCCTGGAAGTCTATTTCCTCGAAGTCTATTTCCTCTGCCAGATTGGGGAAATTCTCCTTTATTATTTGTTCAAATAAGTTTTCCATTGGTGGCTGTTCCTTTCCCCCTTCTGGTACCCTTATAATTCGGATATTGGAGCGTTTAAAGATGTCCTGGAGGTTCCTAAGACTCTCCTCATTTTTTTGAATTCTTGCTTCTTCACTCTTTTCTGTTTGGCCATTATTTGCTTTCTTCTGGTCCTCTCCATTGATTTGAGTCCCAGTTTCCTTTTCATCACTGTTGGTTTCTTGTGCAATTCCATTCATTTCAATTAGTTTCGCCTTCATATGTTTCTCTAATTTGTGGCTATAATCAACCAGTTCTGTGAGCATCCTGATCACCAGTGTTTTAAACTGTGCGTCTGAGAATTTTGCTATTTCTTCATCGCTTAGATTTATAGGCTCTGGGGCTTTGAGATCTTGAGCCATTTTTGGTCTTTTTGCCCATTAAGTATGAGGAGCGGAGCCTTGGACTCTCAGGTCGCTGGGTTGTGATGTTGTATGTGGGGGCGTGGCCAGAGCGGGGAAATGGTGGCCCCCTCTGCTGTTTTTAGCTGCTGGGTAAGGAGCAGAGCCTTAGGTGGTTCACCAGGGCCGGGCCACTCGGAGTCGCTGGGTTATGACGCTGTATGTGGAGGCGGGGTCAGAGCGGGGAAATGGCGGAGCCCTCTGCTGCCACTCGCTGCTGGGGCTGCTGGCTCTCGTCCAATCGCCCACTCCCTCGCTTGTCTATCCACACACGAATGCGCGACCACAGTCAACCCGCAGCCCTGCTCCCTCACTGTTTCCCTGCGGTCGCTCGCTGAGTTGCCCACCAGGTCCAACCCTGCGCCTGGATTCCACGTGCCTGAGTCCGTCTGACCGAGTTTTCCTGTGCAACCCTGCTCCTCCAGCTGCTGGTTTCGCCCCTCTTACTGGTCAGGCTGAAGAATTTGTTGTTATCAGACTTCCAAAAAGTTTAATTTTTTGTGTTCTGGCTGTGTTTTCTGTTTCTAATATTTAGTTATCTCTAAACTTGGTTGTGTGAGGAAGCACAGCATCTCCACCTATGCCTCCATCTTGGCGGAAGTTGAGAAGTTTCTTTACCTTTATGAGAAAATGCTAGTTGTTTTCCATTGAGTTTGTACCCTGTTACATTCTCAAAATCAGAGTTGAAGTGTTTTAGTTGTTTTGCATTTTATCAACACTTGCTATTGTCAGTCTTTGAAATTTTAGCTATTCCATGAGCATATGGTAGTATTATGATTTTTTTATGGTATTGTGAGTTTAATTGCATTTTTCCGATGATGAATAATATTAAGTATCTTTTCATGTGCTTATTGACCATTTCTGTCTTGTATGATGAAATTTCTTGCCCAGTTTTTATTTGGCGTATTTGTGTTATTTAGTTTTAAGAGTTAAGTTTTCTGGATTCAAGTTGTTTGTTAGAAATATGTATAACAAATATTTTCTCTACTTTTGTAACTTGTCTTTTTATTTCCTTTACTAAGTTTATCAAAGTTCAGAAATTATTTATTACTTTTTTCTTTTATGGGATACTTTTTTGTGTTCTAAGAAATCTTTGTTTACCCCATTTTCTTCTGGTCTACTTTTCCTGATTTTAATATAGCCACTTCCACTTTCTTATATTAGTATTTGTGCATATATACTTTTCGTGCTTTTAATTTTATCCTGTCTGTGTCTTTATATTGAAATTAGACTTATTGTAGACAACATATAGTTCAGTCTTGATTTTTTTACTTATCTTGGGAATCTCTGCCTTTAATGGGAGTGTTTGTACCAGTTGCTTTTAGTTTTGTTGTTAATATTGTTCGACTTAATTCTGCTGCTGCCTTGTCATTTCTTTTCTGTTTTTCCAATCTTTTAAAAAATTGTACCCTCTTTTTCTGCCTTCCTTTTGTTTTTTTAAAATATTTCATTGTTCTCTACTCTTCCTAGGTGTATCTTATTATGTATCTTTTATTTTGTTAGTGACTATTCTAGGGTTTACAACATGTATGTTTAATTCATGGGAGGCTACCTTCAAATATCATTATAATACTTCATGTATAAATTATAACAGTGTACTCTGATTTCACCTTCCTGCCTATCTTGCTGTTGCTGTCATGCATTTTACTGCTGTATGTGTTAGAAACCCCAAAATATGTTGTTATTGTTGTTTGGATTAAGTAGTCAAATATTTTTAAAGGGTTTTAAAAGGACAGGAAATATTTTATATTTACCTGTGTTTCCACTATTTTCTGCATGCTTCATTTTTTATAATCAAAATTTTCATGTGATGCAATTTTTTTCTTCCTGAAACTCCTCCATTAGCATCTCCTGTCATGTACATTTGGCAGGTGACAAATTATCTCATCTCTTTTAGAGTAGAGAAGAATTTTAT